AGCGACTAGTTTCAGAGCAAAAAGGGAGAGAAAAAGGATAGATAGAACCTGGTCGGTGAAGATGGAGGGTTTCGGTGATCTATGGGTCCTTTTCCGGCCCGATCTGGTTGATCTCCGGCGACACACAGTAGCACTGCCGTCTCCCTTCTGGACTGGTCGCCGGGGAAGATAGATGAGTTCGCCGGAGAAACTGAAGAATGTTCTTACCTTCGCCGGGGTTTGCTGTTCGCCGCTCGCTGGTCCGAGCAGCTGGAGCTGCTGCTCGTTGTTATCGTCCTCACTGGAGCTTAGGAGGAGAGAGAGAAAGAGGCTCACCGGTCGGAGCCGGTCCTCGCGTTGCTTCTGGCCGGCGCAGCCTTCGATTTCGGCCGGAAAATACCAGAGAGAGAGAGAGAGAAGGAAGAGAGAGAGAAGAGAGAAGATGACACCAAGGTCAAAAATCCAAAACATGATGGATATGCAGGAAATTATGTGTACATGATCATATTCTATAAATAACATGCCAATAATCCTAAAATATTGGTCCCCAACGTTTGATCTCAAGCAAGGAAGATCATCAAAGCATCATTCGGTCAAGAAAGCAAGATCACCAAAGCATCATTCAGACAAGCAAGCAAGATAATCAAAGCACCTTTCAGGTTTTAGAATAAATGGGTAAACCATTCTCAACTCATGCCTATAAGTAATGCTAGTTGGAGGATCAGATAAGCTAAGGGAAAAATGAAAGCAATGTTGAAGAAATTGAAGCAGCTCAAATCTCCATTTCGTCGACATCTCGATATTGAGCACTTCAAAGGGACTATTGTACAGATCATCAAAGCACCATTCAAATTTTACATTAAATGGGTAAATCATTATCAATTTATGTCTATAGTTAATGCTCACTGGAGGGCCAGCGAAGCTAGGGGAAGAATGAAAGCAATGTTGGAGAAATTGAAGCAGCTAAACTCTCAATTTCGTCGACATCTCAATTATAAGCACTTCAAAGGGATTACTGAAAAGATTGACAAAACTAGACTACATGTGGCACAACTGCAACACCAACTGAAACATAATTATAACGATATTCTTGCATCTGAAGAAAAGAAGGCTACAGAACAATTGAAAAAATTGCCACTCATTGAAAAAAGTATTATGAAACAATGATAAAGGGTAAATTGGATTAAACTAGGAGATGCAAATACCAAATATTTCTCTACACTAATGAAGGAGAAGATGCAACAAAAAATAAATAATAAAGTTGATTGCTTTAACTGGGCAAAAACTGACAGATACAACATACATTCAAATAGAGATTCTACAATTTTACAAATTCCTCATGGGCACTACAGCACATTCTCTGCCAACAATTAGTAAAGAAACAATGAGTAAAGGCCCAACACTGGATCGTCAACATTAGTTAGATATATGCAAGAGATATCACAAATGAAGAGATAGTAGAAAGACTTTAAGCAATAGAAGACGATAAATCCCCAGGAGTGGATGGCTTTAATGCACATTTTTACAAAGCAGCTTGGCCAATTATCAAAAAAGACATGTGTTTAGTTGTTCATGAGTTCTTTAAAACATCCAAATTTCATAAACAAGTCAATTGCGCTACTATATCCTTACTGCCTAAGGTCACTCAACCTATGACACTTAAAGAATATAGACCAATAGCTTGTTGTACAGTGTTATACAAGGTGATCTCAAAGGTGCTAACAGTTAGAATGAAGAATATCATGCCCATTATCATTAGTGAATCTCAAGTAAGGTTTATTTTAGAGAGAAGGATACCAGATAATATAATAATGGCTCATGAACTTATCCAAAGCTATTCTAGAAAGCTAGTATCCCCTAGAAGTATGCTTAAGGTAAACCTACATAAAGCTTACGACTCTATCGAATGAATTTTTATTGAACAAATATTAGTGGAATTAAAGTTTCCAACAAAGTTCATATAGTGTATAATGAGTTGTGTGAATTTAGTTACCTACTCAATCAACATCAATGGAATAGTAATAGAGCCTTTTAAAGCAGCTAAAGGATTGAGATAAGGATATCATTTGTCTCCATATCTCTTTGCAATAGCAATGGAGTATATGGGAAGACAACTGAATGAGTTAGGTAGCAACAAGCAGTTCAATTTTCATCCAAAATGTGCTAGAGTGAAGCTACCTTACCTAGATTTTGTAGATGATTTATTGTTATTTGCAAGAGGGGACAAAAGATCAATTCAGTTGTTATATGACAAGTTTATGATATTTTCTTATGCTTCAGGGTTTCAAGCCAACCTAAACAAGAGGAACATTTATTTTGGAGGGGTTGCCAGAGAAGAAAATGAGTTTATTATCCAACAACTTGATATTCCTATTGAAGAACTTTCATTCAGATATCTAGGTATACCACTAACTACTAAGAAGCTGAGTGTATTATAGTTGCAGGCTTTGATAGTAAAAATAGTATCAAAATCACTTCTTGGACAGCCACAAAACTGTCCTATGTAGGGAGGGTACACTTAGTAATGACAGTGGTGAATGAGATTCAAACTTACTGAGCACAAATTTTCCTCATCCCAGCAAAATTACTTCAAATTCTAGAAGCATATCGTATAAGTTAAATTTGGTCGGGTACAAATAAAATTACTAAAAGGGTCTTAGTCTCTTGATGCAAAATGTGCCTACCAAAAGCAGTATGTGGATTACATCTATTTGATCTCAGAATCTGGAAAAAGTGACAGTAACTAAAATGTGTTGGGACTTAGCAAACGAGCAAGATAGATCATATGTAAGACGGAAAAATGCTTATTATATGAAAGGGAGAAAAATTGAGAATTTTCCTACACCACAACATGCTAGCTGGATGGTAAGGAAGATCCTAGATTCTAGAGGAACAATGCAACAAATCCAAGGAAAACCACCTTTCGTCAAGAGCATGATAAATTTTATCTATTTGCAACTCCTAGAAACTCACCCTAAAGTCCCTTGGAAACACTTGATATTTGCACATGAAGCTAGACCAAAAGCTATATTTACAATATGGTGCAACTTCATGGTCATTTGAATTCAACAGATAGACTAACAAATTGGGGAATAGATGTGGATCAAGAATGGCATATGTATGGAAAGTCACAAGATACCAATGAACATCTATTTATAGATTGTGAATATGCAAGGATATTGATGACTAGACTATTGTAGTGGCTAAAAGTTAAAGACAGTGAACCTCAAGGATGTCCAACAGGAAAAACTACTTCAGCAAAGATCATGAAAATGGTCTGTACTGAATTCATTCATGTCGTCTGGACTGAGGGAAATTTCACCAAAGTGTTTGAGTAGAAACAAAGAGATATAAACAGTTTAGCAAGAGAAATAGATTGTAATTGCAAAGAGCTTCAAGAAAACAGAGTACTATATTCCAACAGTTAAATATTATAGTGTATTTATCATACATAGGTATCTCGCAAAAAGATTACCTAAAGGAGCAATTTTTTTATATATCAAGACAACAAACTGGGATGTAGTTATGTTGTGGTGCTTGAATTCCCTACTTGGTGATTAATACAGGTTATTAGTTATCAAAAAATATGTTGGTTATGAACTTCTTGACATACATCTTCTCAATACCATACTTTATCCCACATCTTACTCACCAAATTTTCCAAGTAGTTATGATAGGAATAATTTTAGAGATCAAAGCAATCATAGAATTATGGATTCAGAATTCCCATCAGTAAACTAAAATTCATAGTAGGATAAGCTTACCAATGAATACTAAATAAGCCACATACGATATTACACAGTTTCTGGGCAAGCACACAATTATAGAATGAGGAGCATCAATATATATATATATATATATATATATATACACATATATATATTGAAAATTAATTGAAAATTAGTTGAAAATTAATTTATCGACAACCACAACCTTGTTTGCAATTAACATTATCATTCCCTCATCAATGTCTTAAAAGCTTAATCAATTTTCAGCCACACACAAATTAGCTTAATATACCCTGCCCCTCTCAAAAGAAAAAGAAATTATTTCCACAAACGCTTGTAAACATATTATAAAATGATATACACTAATAAAATAATTATAAAAACTATTTTTAATGTGCATTAACTACTAACCTAGTAAGCATAGTAACTAACAAACTATCACATATCATTATAATATTGTTAGTATGTATACCAAATTAAAAATATTTAATTTATATACATTGATATCGTATTAAAAGACTTACATGTAGAAGTGTAATTTTTCTTAGGGTAAAATGACTAGTTCACGAATGGAAGAAAGATAGAAGGTGTGAAAGCATTAGTCCTTTCTAGGGAATTACCAACAACAAACAAAAACAACAACACCTCAATTCCAAAATAGTTGGAATTGCCTATACAGACTTTCCATATTCAATCTACACTATTTCATCCTAAAATTCTGAAAATTTTCAATCAAAGGCAAATTAGGAACTCTCTAATGCTAGACATTATAATAATTAACTAGTTTACACTAGCCATCCAACATAGTAATCCTTCCTACTCCTATATGAAATAAGGGTTGAAAGTCATGGGCGAACTTTGTCACACTCCAAAAACTCGAGCCGTGATGACACCTACCATAACCCACCAGTAGTGTCACTATCCGACTTTCTGAGTCATGATGGCACCTTCTAAAACCCATTAGTAGGTAAGTCGACTCGTACCCAGAACAACACATAGTGGGTACAAGGGTGGAACTATACATAAAATAATACTAACAATAAGACAAGACAAAAATGTAAAGCAGACAAAACACTATATACAAAGGAAACCCTCCCATAACCTGGAAGTCACGAGTACAGAGCTATCTAGCAAGATAAATACAAGTCCTAAAAGTGGACCACAACAAGTCATCTCAAAGGAAAAAGACAAGCTAACTTATGTCAGGATGCCAAGTGCTCACCCTCGTTTCCGATATCCCAAAGCTATAAAAGATGGCATGAACGATCATCGTTGATAGCTCGTACTAGGACTTGCATAACGAAAAGATGCAGAGTATAGCATAAGTACCATAACAAGGTAGTAAGTAGGCATCATAGGCCAACTGAGCAAAAAAGATAAAAATAGTCAGAAAAATACGATCTAGACACAAACAAAGGTCAAAGTGGATATGAAAAGAAGGCACACAAGCATACCAAAAATGAATCTAAGTACAACTAAACTAAACCTAGTTGGACCCCATAAACCCAGAAGGTACACTCGTGTGAAAGCTTAAATAAAATCCAGAAGGACCCCCATAAGACCGACAAGCACACTGTGAGAAATATATGGGAAAAATATTATTGAATTGTGTATCTAAATTGTTACACTGAGACCCTATTTATAGACAGTATATTAGAATCATTTTCCAACTAGGATTCCTATTCTTATTCCTATTACTATTCCTATTTAAAGTAGGAAATACTTATTTCTATTCTAACACTCCCCCTCAAGCTGGTGCATACAAATCATATGTACCTAGCTTGTTACAAATGTAATTAATACGAGGACCTGTGAGGGACTTCGTGAAGATATCTGCAAGCTGATCATTTGACTTCACGAATTTCGTAACAATATCTCCTAAGAGTATCTTTTCTCTGACAAAGTGACAGTCAATCTCAATGTGCTTAGTCCTTTCATGAAACACTTGATTTGATGCGATATGAAGAGCCGCTTGATTTTCACACACAAGTTCCATTTGATCAATTTTGCCAAATTTTAGTTCTCCCAGCAACTGTTTGATCTAAACTAGCTCACAAGTTGTTGTCGCCATTGCTTGATATTTTGATTCCGT